ACCGACCTCAGAAGTGAGGATTATAGTATATATTTTAAAGTTTTTCATCTGCATATTCTAAATATCTCACTGATATTATATATTTATGCTATTTAGATAGCATATCAGCGCTTAATATGTGTAATAGGAAATCTTAAGTGAATATATTAGAGGCTCTCTGTTACAAATAGTATTTTCACTTTGTTATAACCGCTTAAAGCTGAAATCATTATATAGCTCATCAATGAAGTATAAATATTATTCCAAATGAGCTTATATACAATTAAAAACATTAAAGCATCGATGAATTAGATTTTTGCTTTGGATTAAAGTCAAACAGGAATATTTTGGGGTTGGGAATGAAGAGAGCTCGATGGAAAAATAGCTTTCGAGGCAACAGGTTACAGTTTAATACTTACGCTTGTACATCCGTCACAAAAGCCCAAGCCCATGCCCATCCTCCGATTACTGTCTTCTTGTTCCCAGCACCACAACAGCCACCTAACAAAGGAAAACAAAACCTTAGCCAGACCTACAAAGGTGGATTAAAAATACGGACTCGCGAAGTCTTCGTTGATGGGTGCATTCATGCACAAAATGGTTGACTGTCTTACTCCGTGACGAACGAGCCCTGGAGTTCACTTTAACCAAGTGAAAATGCACCAATTCAAAAAGAATTTAAACAAGAATAATAGAATTCTCTAGAATTTCGTCGATATGTTTAAGAAAACATGCGCTAAAACACTAGAGCTGTGGATAAATATGTTCATTAATGAACAACAAGGCCTCACTACACCAGTGTTCAAAGACCAAAACCCTACAATTTATAAACATTTCGACATAAATAGCACGTTACCAGATACGACGAGGGCTTCATTAGGTCCTACTGTATAGCAATTCCCCATTTTGATCGCCTTTTAGGTTGTTTTTATTATGTTTTGAAGGTGAGTTTTGAAGTTTTCAGTCAAAAGAAAGCTGGATCAAAGAACAAGATCTACGCCTTCACCCTCGACCCAGTCTTCACTCACGATGACAAAACAAAACAGATGTCGACATGTGTGTGAATAACTAAATAAAGCTTATGTAAGAATAAAATGATAAAGAATTAAAATAAATGCAATTCAGCAATATAAGACAAAAAATTAAGACTAAAAACAAAATATGAAAAGTTTAGATGAAATGAAACTATAATCTTACGTAA